CTCCTAGACTGAGCCAGAAGGGGGCTTGGAGATCACCAACCCACTGCTTCTGAAAGCAGAGACTCGGGTCCTACGCAAGACCTCTAAAGGCTCTGGAATCTGCGCTTTCGGAAGTGCAGCCCATCTCGCAGTACTCTGCAGGCCAGCACTGGAGAGCTGGTGCATCCCCACACTCTATCTGGATGACAAAATGTAGGCCAGAGAGGGTCAATAAGTTTCAGTGGCTGGCCAGGAGCCTTTTCCCGTGCTGCAGTCTACATGTCAGAGCGAGACCTGGCACTCACACTTCAGTGCTGTGTCTGTCCATTCCAGCTGGCTTGACTCTAAAGCCATCCCTTTAAATCCAGCTTACTCTATTGCTCCACACTCAGTTCTGAGACCAGAATGGAGTGTAGAGAGGAGAAAGGACTGGGTGCATAGTGAAATCACCTAGGAATTCTAGGAGGCAGGTGTATGGGCTTGTGTGGCCTGGGAATCCTTTACCAAAACATACACTTGTAAGACCGTTTTCTAACCACACTCAGACCTTTCTGACAAAAGAGATTAGGTGTAAGAAGTGCTACTGAAGGAGGGATTCTCCGTGGATTTATTCCCACAAATTGTACTCATTCATTCTGGTGTTTATTGCTTACATAATAGAGTGTGTCAATATTCATGCAACAGTAAACCTTAAAACAACATGTTGATGCTTTAAGTAGATCGATCAAGAGATAGCATATCTATATGTATATTTATATCATCATTTTTTTCAAAGTTCATTTGGTATATTGCCATGAACTACATACCCAATGTGGATGAGAAACAGAAGGCCGTAAATCAATATTATGATCATTCCGAGTCATTGCAATGGCTGTAGTTATACAGAAGAGGCAGAATGCTTCCCAGGTACCGATGCTCCAGTCCACAGCTGCCCTACTGGGAGCTGGGAAGTGGTTCCCCAGCCAGCTCTGAGTGGAAACTAACATGAGGTGCCATTCATTGTTTCGCAGACTATACAGGGAAGCTACCCGTGATTGTGCAAATTACTGCCTTGCCAGCTAGATGGTGCCAAACCCAGCACTTCCCAGTTTGTTTCTGCCCTGAGACAACTGGTTCTGCGTTATTTTACGCCTCTCACCCATCTAAATACAAGAAACTCTCTAGTGAAAACTGTGCAGGAGAGAAAGACATCAAACGCTGCTGAGACAACTACTGCAGCACACATTTTGGTGGCAGCCAAAGGAGGAAGGGCCACTCAGCAGCCAGCAGTGGCCTGGCTGAGTCTCCTCTGGGCCCAGCATCTCTAGGACTGGGGTTTTCCTTCCAGGGCTTTCCTTGGAACTGACAACACATTCCACTGGGCACAAGTTCCAACTCCTCCTCCATGCTTCACATCACTGTTTGCAAACTCCATGCGTTCCAAAGTCTTGTTTTGTGTAAACAGTGAGAGAGAAAACACAATAGCACCTAGCCTCCATTCCAGTCCTAGGCAACAGGCCTTAACTCTGCAGGTTTCATCTTTTCCTGCTCTGTGGGAAGTGAGACAAACGGCCCCAGAGGCCCTCTCCAAATATTAGGGACCAATGTTTCTAAGTGGTGGCTGAGATTGTGCACAGGGGGGAAAAACGGTCCTAAAAAGAAAATGACTCATTAAACCAGATTACTGCAACACGCCCCCTTCATTAATCACTCTAGCCTCCATTTTATCTCACGCCCTTGGCCTCTATTTCTTACCCTCCACACATACATCTGAAGCAAATAGCACTACCTCTGCCCAGTCCCCCTCCCCGGGGTGAGTGAAAGTCTGCTCCCTTCCTTCCTTCATTTACCCCAGGGCTCCCTGCTCCAGCCCTGCAGTCATGGTCAGCACACCTATATGTGTATGCACATGTGTATGCGTGTGTGTCTATGTCTATATAGGTACACACAGAGACACACAAACACACACACATACACAATGGAGCCGCCCAACTATTGAGGCAAAGTGGGTTGAATTGATCCTGAGCATGCTTGGATTGACTTCCCTCTCTCGGGCCTGACTTGAGATGTCCAGAGCAAAATGCTTTCCAGTGAAAATGCAGCAGGCCTTGGCCAGAGCTCTTGGGGGGCACGAATGAGGGCACTTTCTGAGACCTATGGGGATGACATGGAGTCTAGACTAGAGCCAGTGCCCAGGCTCCAACTGGGACCAGGCAGGCCAGCCCCGCAGCTCTCTGGTTCTGGTGTTTTCATGCTCAGGGGTTCTATTTTTCCAAGAAGTGAAAGAACAGTGGCTGTGTCCCTGGTGGCTTTGATCTTGCTCCCCGCAGGCGGGGGTGGAGGGTGTGGAGAAGGCAGGATGAGACTTCTGTGTGGGTGAGTGGGGAGGGGGGACTGGATGAGCCTTTAGTGTGGGCACAGGACCAAAGTGGGGCGGGACTGGATGGGCTGTTCTGGGTGTGGACTGTGCGGTGGCATGGCCTTGGCCCTGCTCCCTTCTCCAGCCTCCTCTCCCTCAGCCTCTCAGTCTCACCCACAAATTGCCCTCCTTTGTTGGTGCTGCAAAAGAAATACATGGGGGAGATGGTGTCAGTAGTAGCACCTAAGTGGCCAAGAGCAGCCTGGATTCCAGGACCTCAGACCCCAGGCTCCACTGCCAAGGGTATTACACAGGGGCCAGGCCACGTCAGCTGGAGCCCTGCCCTTTGGGCTCAGTGCCTTCAGCCTCGCCTTCATTTCCATTTCCAGGGACTCCTTCCCGGGTCACATGCCTGGGGTCATAGTACTTCACTGGTCTTATGTCCCTTCCTCCATGTTCATTTATTCTTCCATCCAAAAAATAGCTCTGTTATATAAGCTGTGAGGGATAAAAGTCAACCAGGGCACAGTCCTTGGCCTCCAGGGATTCAGTGTCTGATGGGAGAGATAGACATGTAAACAGTCGCTGCAAAATGATAAGCGCTCTGCTAGAAACCTGCTGGAGGTACCGTGGGAATCAGGCAGAGGGGCTGGACTCTCCCTGCAGGGGAGGGAAAGACAGACAAGCAATGCAATTCCAAGGCACATCACAGGTGTCCAAAGGTGGTCACAGGTGTGAAGGCTGCTGAGAGTATAAATATTACCCAGACTGTGGGGAGGCCCACAGCCTGAGCTGGAACCTGCCAGAGCACAATGGGCTCTCTCCTCGGTTTCCCTTTAACTCCACCTCCACTCTCACCCCACCAGCACTCTGGATCTGGCTGGGAACTGCCTTTAGGAAGCCCCTGTATTTCCAAGCTATGGATAGTACCCTGGGTTGCTCTCACAGCAGCATCCTGTCTGGGTCACAATAAACAGTGACCCAATGAATGTAGCTATCATTTTGAGTGGAGCATTGATCAAAGGCTTACGTACAAAGACATGCCTCACAGAATTACCTATAATATGGCCAGCCAGTGGCATGGTGGTTAAGGTGACTGATCCCACATGGCTGATTGAGCAGTTCAAGTCCCAAACTTGGTGGCTTGAAAAACACGCTAGGCACATCCATGTACTTGTCCCAAATCCTGAGAGGAGAATGAAGGAGAAGGATCGAGGGTGGCCATCCCCACTGGGGGGCGATTCTCTCTCTCTCTCTCTCTCTGGCAAGTGCACACATCCTATAGCAAACTAAAAGAAAAAAATAATTACCTATAATTACAAATATTGGAAGCTATCAAGATGACCAAAAATGAATGAGTGAGAAACTATTGTTGATATAATATGCAACCCACTAAACTGGACCTAAAAATTGTCAGTGATATAGGAAGTGGAGTAAAGAATTAGTATGAACACAAGTATGTAACATATATAAATATATAGCAGTTAGGGCCCATTTGCTGTGGCATGCTCTGCTAAGATGCGTTGTTCTGCAGGCTAAAACCATGGGAGGCCCAGTTTGATTCTCAGGCCAATCTAAAGGCCAGGCATGATGGCATGTGCCTTTAATCCCAGCAATTTGGAGATGCTGAGGCAGGATGATCATGAGTTGGAAGCTGGCCTGGGCGACATAGTGAGGACCTGTCTGAAAAAAGAGTTAGCTATGGTGTCATGTACCTGTGGTCCCAGATGGGAGGCTGAGGCAGGGCGATTACAATATGAAGAACCCTTGTGTTTTATTTAAAAAAGAAAAAAGAAAAAGAAAAGAAAAATGATAAGAAGGAAACCTACCAAAATAATAATTGGTTGTAAAAATATCCACTTGCTTTTATATTTTTTCTGTTTTTTCCAAAGATTTAATGATGAATGTTTTACGTGTAAAAGGAATTAAAACCAAAATTGGGGGGGAGAGGTGTGATGGAAGTTTTCCTTTATAAAATATGGATTGGGCATCTAGAGAAAAATGATAAAGGGCGATGAGAGTTTAGTCCCAGACATTAGACTAAATGGAGAGGACAAAAGGAGAACATGAAAGTTATTAGACTAAATGGAGAGGACAAAAGGAGAACGTGACAGCATTCTTTAAAAAAAAATATTTCACCAACTATGATTAAAGGGAAGCCAATGGTTAATGGAGAAGTCTGGTTCTGTGTTCCTTGAGAGTACAAACTATAAGCAATGAATTAATGTCTCATCATGTGGGTTGTAGCCCAAGAGAAGAGGCCAGTAACCCAGGAGCTAACACCCTCATGGCTATTCAGAGGCATGAGCTCCCCTGCAGCAGGAGAATCCTGCCAAGGCTGTGTAAGAGACATCTGTCAGGGATGCTGAAAGGAAGTGAACCACAGAGTCTCTAAGAGGGGCCTTCCAGCACTGGCACTTTGTGATGTTTTCTCAGTACAGAGCCTTTACTGGCCATCCTAATCATGCAAGCCTTTTTATTTCCCATCATCTGTCACCTGTTGATACAGAACTCTCATCAGTTAATATCTGCTTCCCATCTGTATGTTCCAAAGTGTAGCCACAGAGAGAATGACAGACTAAATACAGGATATCCAGGAGGAAATAGACAGTTAGGAAGAGAATGGGAGGAAAAACTGGAAGCGAGATAACCCATGGTCCCTGATTTTGCTTGCCATTGTTCAGACAAGCCCCAGCTCATGACTCAGATAGTGGTAGAACTAGTGGTAGATAGGCCTCTCCACTTTTCATATTTATTGATCCTCTCAATGTTCTTGAGGTTCAATGATCAGTATGTGGTCAACACTAAGGTAATTAAGAGGAGGTGCTGCCCTAAAGTAATGTACAAATAAAAGTCAAAGACAGATAGTAAAGAACAGAACTGAAGAGGCTAGCAGGTGGCATGGTGGTTAAGGGCATTGGACTCCCCACATGGCTGACCGTGGTTTGAGTCCAGGATCTGACAGCTTGCTTTCTCACTTTTCCTCTCTCTCTCATACACTCTGTTGCTCTCTGGTCAAATAAAAAGAAATAAAGTTAAATAATTATTTACTAAAAAAAAAAAAAAAGAGAGAGCTTAAGGAGAAAGGGCATAATGGGAACACAAATAACATACAATAGGTCACAGAGAAATGGCTCTAATTCTGCCAAAGGGAACTGAAGGTGGAGGGCTCTAGGGAGATCACCTTGGAGTCAGGATTAGAGAGTATTAGCGATGCCACAGCATCCTCCAAGGCATTGTGGCATGAGTGAGCACAACATCTGAATGTGGAGTAGCCAGCGTTGTTAGAATGGTGGGTTGCTAGGGTTCACGATGGGAAAGGAGTCTGGAGAGACAGGTGGAAGACACATTAGGGAGTACAGGCTTCATCCTGGCATGTTTAAAAGTCAGGGAAGATTTCTGTGTGCATGCGTGACATTTACCCTCAGCAGCAGTAAGAAAGTTGAATGAGAGACCTAACAGACAAGACTTAAGTCCAGGATTCCAGGAGAAAGCTACTGTAGGTGATGGTGGAGCTGAACCAGAGCAGTCCTAATGGGAGGGGAATGAGGTCAAAGGCTTAAGAGATGTCCTGGGGACAGTGTTGTCTGACCTCATTGCTGAGAAGGACTGGAGGACAGGAGGAAAGAGGAAAAAAAACATGGGAGTTGGGGTCAGTTCCATGGTATTTGGATCCCACATGGCTGACTGTGTGGTTCAAGTCTTGAGCCTGGCAGCTTGAGAAACAGGCCAAGCATATGTGGGTTCATGTCCAAAATTTCAAAAGGAGGAAGAAATGGAGAAAAGATTATGGCATGACCATTCCCAATGAGGGGTGTGCTTTCCCCTTTCCCTTTTTCTCTTGATCTCTCTGAGTGCACGTGCCCTCTAGCAAAGAACAAAAACATATAAGTAAATAAATAATAAAGCTGTGGAAGATGACTCGGGGCATGCCATTTATAGACCACCATATTCATGCCATAACTCTGGGAGCTGCCTCAGGCTCTATCTTCCTGTTCCTAATAACTGGCTACTTGGTCACTTGCTGGTTTTTTGGTTTTGACTTAGAAACTGAGGTACTTTGTTTCCCACTTCCACACACAAGCACAGCCTTGAATTGTTCTCCCTAGAGGAACACTCTCGTCCTTTCCAGTCAGGCTGCAAGCTCCCCAGTGGAGGACCCAAGGCACTTGCTACTGACTGGGCAGGTGTATGCATGTCAAAATACTAAATGAATTTGCATGACTCGAAGGTCTTGAGTGGTAACCAGCTCTCCTCCCCTGCCCTCCCTGGCAGAGACCTCACCTCCGAGGACCAGATTGTGCTGCTGAAGTCAAGTGCCATCGAGGTCATCATGTTGCGCTCCAACGAGTCCTTCACCATGGACGACATGTCCTGGACCTGCGGCAGCCCAGACTACAAGTACCGCATCAGTGATGTAACCAAGGGTGTGTTTGGACTCCACCTCCACCTTTTCTAGCTCCCAGACTCTGGTCCCACCTCTCCTGGAGTCCTGGGCCCCACTCAGGCCCAGGACAGGGCCCAGGCAACAACAGAGAGTGCAGGGTGGGTCAGCCCAGGTGGTGGGGGTGGGCTGGGCAGCCCCTCGGCTCCTACAGCACGTAGTTGTTCTCTCATAGCTGGACACAGCCTGGAGCTTCTTGAGCCCCTCATCAAGTTCCAGGTGGGGCTGAAGAAGCTGAACTTGCACGAGGAGGAACATGTTCTGCTTATGGCCATCTGCATCGTCTCCCCAGGTGAGAGGCCTCGCCATGGGGGCTTGAGGAGCTGAGAGGCAGGAGCGTGAAGGACTGCAGAGGGCCAGCAGGGCAGCCTGAGGGAGCAGTGAGCAAAAGGAGAGCTACCTCAGGAAACACTGATCCGCTGGGGTTGCACGGCCCATGTGGGGTGTGTATCTTGCAGGGTCTCTCGTTGCCCTTGGCCGTGCCTTACAGAGATCGCAGGTGACTCATAGGTAGGATCAATTCTGAGGAACAATTCAGAAAAACGGGGTTCCTCAGGTCACAGACAGGCCTAGTGTTCCCAATATTCAGGCTCTGCTCTTGAGTAAACTGGACTAAACTTTCCTGTCACTTGAGGTCCCTCAAGGTAGGGCACAACACCCTAGGGCCAGTTGGGTGGCTCTGCCTAGACAGTTTGCCTAATTGATTTTGGAGACAGTGTCTGTCACCCTTGACCTCTTCTACTTGTTTGAGTTGGGAAGAGGGAGAAAAAGCTGAGGAGAAAGTTACTGAGGGAAGTTACTGGTATCGAGGACCCAAGAGGGCAGCCCTGTCTCACCTCGACTGTGTTCATGGGACAAGCTAGTGGCCTTCTCCCAGGGATGCTTTCCCGGCTTCCCTCCTCCTGCCAGCTGCATTTGCTCGCTCACTCACTCGTACACTCAGCAATGGTCTGTGACCAGGCCTCAGACCCTGCGCTGGGCAGAGGGCTTCAGCAGCAGACAGGACCCAGACTTCACTCCCAGGGAGCTTAGGAGGAGACATTTAACAAAAGCTGTGTTTTGGGGCTAGCAGGTGCCACTGGGTCAAGGCACTGGATTTCACATAGCTGACTCCACAGTTCGCGTCTCAGACCTGGCGTCTTGAAAGACTTGCCAGGGTCATGTGTGTGCATACCACAAATCCTGAGAAGGGAATGGAGAAGGGGGTGATTTCTCACTTTCTCTCTCTCTCTGTATCTCCCTGGGACAAAAATTTTTTAAAAATTTAAAAAGGCTAGTTTTAAAGCTTTATTTCTTTTCTGAGAGGCATCCCCAACAGGGTCTTCACGCCACAATCCGCTCCCCCATCTCACTCAGCCTGGATCACAGGCACGTGCCTGCCCTGAATACTCAGGGAGTTCCTAAGATGCAAGCCCAGGACCTTTCCCTGGGGGATCTAGTTTCATTACTGCTGCTTCATCACCTGGCCTCAATAAATGGTTTTAACAACTAATCTCTAAAATGATGAGAGTTTTAAAATAAAGAAGTAGGTAATACTACCGGAAAGTATACTAGAAGGAGAGAATCTGATGTAGACCTCCATGACGGTGGAGCATTGTCGGGAATAGCCTTCTTGAGGAAGTCTTTCAAGCTGTTATCTGAAGGATCGGTAAAAGCCAGGTGGGCGAAGAGAGAAGAGCTGAGCTCCAAGCAGAGGGAACCCAAATGTGAAGCCTGGAGGTCTGAAGCCTGGGGTATGAGTGCTGAGAGCAGAGGAAACATAGAGACTGAGGGAGCAAGGTGGGGTGGGGACAGGGCCAGATGAGTTCATGGAGCAGCTGGAACTCTATCCTAACTGTGGTAAGTCATGGAAGGTCATTAGGCAGGATGATAGTGTCACACCAGCAGCCAGGAGTGGCCTAGGGAGATGCCAAGGTTGGGTGTCTATGTGGGAGGGAAGGTGGTGAGATTGAGCAGTGAGGGGCCCAGCTCAGAGCTCCTGTGTCTCCCCCTCCCGCCCTTGTGCCCACAGACCGTCCTGGGGTGCAGGACGCTGCGCTGGTCGAAGCCATCCAGGATCGCCTGTCCAACACACTGCAGACCTACATCCGCTGCCGCCACCCACCCCCAGGCAGCCACCTGCTCTATGCCAAGATGATCCAGAAGCTGGCTGACCTACGCAGCCTCAACGAGGAGCACTCCAAGCAGTACCGCTGCCTCTCCTTCCAGCCCGAGTGCAGCATGAAGCTCACGCCCCTCGTGCTCGAGGTGTTTGGCAACGAGATCTCCTGACTAGGGTGGCCTGCGGTGGCACCTGGGTGGGGCTGCTCCTCCAGGGCCATGTGCCCAGGCCCAGGGCTGGCCTCTGCCTAGCAGCCCTTCCCACCCCATCTGGAGGCCAGCCCTTGCTCTACATGTCCCCTTTCCACCTGGTCCACCCTCTCTCCTGCCCAGCCTCACACCAGGCCCTCCTTTCCAGGCCCCAGGCTGCCCCCAGTCCCTTGAGATGTCACTGACAAAGGAACTCACATGGGGGCAGAGGGCACAGGCCAAGGTGGGGCCATGCCCAGGGATGCCCCTCCCGGGGCCCCCCCTGCCACTCTACAGTGGCTGCTGGCTGGTGCCGAGGGAACAGGCAGGAAGGAAAAACACACCCATTCCTCAGGGACAGAGACACCTGTACCTCCCCTGACTCCCAGCACACATGGCCGAGTCTGATGGGGATTTCCCTCCCTGCCCTCCCCCCAGTAAACAGCTGGCCCACAATCCCCACCCCATCTCATCCTGCCGCCCATCTGTGCTGTTCTGCGCCAGGGCAGTATACCATGATGGGGCGTCTTCTCTGCCTTCCCACTCCTGGCCTACCCAGGACACTCACTGCCAAGGTGACTAAGGTCACAACTCCCCCACCACCCTTGCTGGCCAAAGGGCATGTGCCTGGCCCCGGTGCCCACCCTCTCCCCATTGCTGTGGTAGGACTCTCCTGCAGGAGCTCTTATAAGGCGGGCTGTCTCCTTGTCACCGGAGCCACTGGCTCAGAACCTACCTGCCAAGAGGCCGAAGGAGGAAAAATCCCAGGTTCTGGCTAGGGAGAACAGACACAGCCAGTGTTGCAGAATAGTGGCTGCTGGTCACAGGCTGTCCCTATCCCCGTGTCCAGGCTCCTTGGCCTGGATCTACAGGTTGGTGGAGGCAAGAGCTCTTCTTCCAGGGGCCCAGAGGCAGGACAAAGTTGTGCCCAGGCCGTAGAGAAGCAGCGCACCATCCTCCCTCCTCACCCCGCCGGTGCCTTACCGTCCACCCAGGAGAGCCAGCCCACGCACTCAGCAAGGGGAGCCTCACCTCAGATCACAGAGCTGACCCTGAGTCAGCCACTCCCCCAGTCACCCCAGTCTAGACTGTTGCCTCCCTCTCTGCGTCGTCTGTCCCTGGTAGGGTGGGCCAAGTCATGCTCCCCCTGCCTGCCTAGGAGAAGTTCCAAGGCAGCTGTTCACCCACCCTTCGAGCCAGCAGCAGGATCTGGGTCCCTCGGGATGTGGGCGGGGCATGAAGGTCGGCCTCTGGTGCTGGTCAGAGAAGCTTGCTGCTGTGCCATGGGGCTGGTTTCCTCCTTAGCTTGCTCTACCACCCACAAGTCACAGGGGCCTGCGAGGCCGGCAGGTGGAGGGCAGCTAGAACTTCCAGGCCATGTCTTCCTCTGTGGCCAGCCCCGCCTAGGAGCCGTCAGCCCATTTATTCTTGGCTGAAGTTCCTGGGGGAGAATAGGTCCTAGGCGTGTGGGACCAGAGCAGAAGGGGGTTCTTCAGATCACTGCTTGAGTTTGGGGAACACGACTGCATTCAGTGTATCAGTGGCGAGGTGATGTCCACTGGGACGTGGCCGCCTGAATCCCCAGAAGATGGGCCCCTCCACCTGCCTCTGTTGCTCCCTGGAAGCCTGGGAAGGAATCACTTACCACTGCAAGAGCTGGCTGCGCCACCGGCCGCGTTTCTCAGAATTCTTTAGGAGGAAGCGCATCTGAACACCGCCACATTCCTTACTGCAGAGTAGCATAGATGTGGCTTACTCTTCAGCTTATTAGAGATGAATTGTTTTCAGAACAGGATTCCATTTGTACTATATTTCAATATAGAGGGTAGCAGGCACCATGGATTCAGAGCTATTTATGAGAAGAAAAACTTACATTATGAAAATTCTGTACATTATTATTATTTTACAGAGGTCTAGAGAAAGACCCTTGTTTGATTTTAGCTGCAGCTAAAATTGTCCAGCTCACTATTTGGTGGGAGAAAAACCAGTTCAATACCCTTGTTAAAGAAAGCTGACACTTAGAGGGCCTGACTCGCCCAAGCTAATATAGTTAGAAGCAGTGCCAGGACCAGGACAGACGCTGGACCCAGAGTCCAGTGCTCTTTTCACTACACCACGCTTGAGCTCGGATCTTGTTTCCCCATCCCTCTGGTGGCTGTCCCTGTCCTTTGGAGGAAGCCCTGGATTTTAAACAGAGAAAATCTAGATCTGGGGCCCCTTCCTTCCTCCCCTGGGTTCTAATTCCACCGCCCCATCAGGAAAAAGAGGAAGGATGCTTGGCCAATGTCTCAATGTGAATCAGACCCTGCCCCATGTGGCCCTGGCTCAGGGGCTCTGCCTCAGGCCTGTATGATGCTGTTGCCTTATCAATAAAGTGCATTTGTCTTTGGAAAGTCTCCACCTTCCTAGTCGTCCTCTGGCCTTGTCTTCTCAAGGTCCCTGATTGAACTCCCGGGAACATCAGTCACTCAGCCCTGGGGACCACCACGACCCAGGCCACTTTCAAAAGGAAGTCTAGGAGCTGAGAGGAAAGGAAAGAGGGAAAAGTAAATTGGGAGGAAATGCTATCATCTATTCTGTTTTAGAATAAGAGTGTGAAGGTAAACATTTATAAATCTAAAACTTTAAAGTATATTGTTGGAGATGGAGGAAAGTGTGCACCAAAATGCAAGATTCCTGGAGACAGGAAAATTCCCATGTGGGCTGATGGGATGCAAATACAATCAAGAAGACAGGAAGGCATGGCAGATTTGGCAAAAGCTAGAAATAAAGCAGTGGCAGTAGGCTTTAAAGAGTGCCTATGTGGGACCACTAAAGGTGGCGTAGTGGTTGGGGTGCTAGACTCCCACGTGACTGACCGTGGTTCGAGTCCCAGGCCTGGTGGCTTGAAACTCATGCTGGGCACACATGAGTGTGTGCCTAAAATCCTAAGAGGAGAATGGAGGAGAAGGGACTGCAACATAGTCCTCCCCCAGGGGGTGAGTTCTTGCTTTCTGTCTCTCTGTCTCTGTCTCTGTGGCAAGCACACGTGCCCTATAGCAAAAATATCTTTCAAAAAGGAAAGAGAGAGAAAGAGAGAGTGCCTGTGAGTGATTTCCAAGGAGGAAAGAAAGGTTGCCAGAGGTTTGTCAAATAAACTAACAGAAAGTTTTGCTTATGGTATGCAATTCACATAGCTCTTACTCTCTGGAAAGTCTTGCTGTAAATAAATGCTCAATACAAGCCAACTTGCTTTATCTTTGTAAGGCCCCAATGGGGGATGAGCTATTATTAGCCACGTGATAGGGGGTTAACTTGCCCAAAGTCACATTGATGAGAAGTGAGAGATGGGATTTGAACCCTTGGCAGCTAGCTCCAGAAGCCATTAATTAAGTACCACATCACACTGCTTCCTCCTGTCTGCTTCTCATGGAGTTGAGGAGCCTGATGAATGACAGGCAATCTTGCTAGCTTTCTCCTAAGGAAGCTGTAAGGGAGACTCCCTTTGCTAAGGTGGACCCTGGGATGGGAGGACCCTGGAGGTGCTGGATCAAATAGCAATTTATTCTCAGGAAATAATGGGTCAAATATGTTGGGCCCAGTCAAGGGCTGCACTTGCCTGAGAACATCAAGAATAAAAATTAGGGGGTCAGGAGGTGGCATGGTGGTTCAGGTGCTGGACACTCCCACATGGCCGACCATGGTTCAAGTCCCGGAAATGGTGGCTTGCCTTCTCACTTTCCCTCTCTCTGTCTCTCTGGTCAAATTAAAATAAATGAATGAATAAATAAAATTAAATAAATAATTCTTAAAAAAAAATTAGATGGGACAAGCAGTTGGTGTAATGGCTATGTCGCTGGACTCCCATGTAGTTGATTATGGTTTGAGTCCTGGACCGTCATGCCAGGCACATGTGCGTGTGTGCCCAAGATCCTGAGAGGAGAATGGAGGAGAAGGGACTGTGGTGTGGCCATTTCCCCTGGGGGGTGATTTCTCTCTCTCTGTCTCTCTATCTCTCTCTGTCTCTCTGGTGAGGGCATGCACCCTATAGCAAAAACCTCTCCAAAACAAACAAAACAAAAAAATTTGGCCACTGCTGGCAAAAATGTGTCTTCATTAGTGATGGCAGCTGTGCCCGTGGCTGGGGGGAATCTCAGATGACGCCTGTGCATACACAGGACACCGAGGAGCCTGAGGGATAGTAGGATCCCTTGCTCCCTGCTCTGTCCCCAAGGAAGCAGGCTTTCCGGGTAAGGGCAGCATCCCACCACAGCAAACAAGAATCGCCGAGCAAGTAGCCAGGCTTGGCCCTGTACACGGAGACCTCGTGCCTAATCATGTGTTTGTTTAGCTGGTCTGGGACACTGGGAACATGATTTACTATTACTTGTCAGAAACAACTGAAGAGATTTTAAACCAAACACTAAAATGTGTCAGAGTGCGCTATAACGGGAGGAGAGGAATCAGCGATAGGGCTCAAGGGCTGTTTTGCTATTTAAAAAATGAATGGACTTAGAGAAAGAAAACAGCTGCAAAAACGGCATGTCTCTGGCGGGACAAGTATGAAGAATGGAATCCTGAGACATGGTTAGAAGAATCTTATTTAGCAATTTTACTTACTTATTTATTTATTTTATTATCAGAGAGCATGTGTGCTTGCCAGAAAGAAAAACAGGGAAATTTTTTTTAGCCCCCCAGTGGAACATGGGCAGCCATCCTTTCTCCTCCGTTTATCTCTCATTAAGATCTGGGGCACACAGGCGCAGGTACCCGGTGTGTTTTTCCAGCCACTGGGAATAAGATTTGGACCATTGTCAGTCATGTGCAATCTGGCTTTCCTAAGCACAGCACTTAATGGCTATACAACAGGACTGGCCCTTATTGAGTATTTTTAAAAATGTTCCAGAGGGTCACAGAATTTCCAAGTCTGTGGAGCCAGTAGGTGGCGTGGTGGTTAAGGTGCTGGATTCCTACATGGCTGACTACGGTTTGAGTCCCAGACCTGACAGCTTGCTTTCTCACCTCTCTCTCTCTGGTGAGCTCAAGTACCCTGTAGTAAATTAAAAATAATAATAAAAATGATAAATAAAGTTAAATAAATAATTCCTTTTAAAAAGACCTCTGAATTATAATCAGTTTTTCCAAGTAAACTGAGAGGCATGTACCCCAAGAAATTCTTGTACTTAAGATCAAATGAGGGAACCAGCAGTTAGCGTAATGGCTATGTCGCTGGACTCCCATGTAGTCGACCGCAGTTCGCGTCCCGGACCCGGTGGCTTAAAACTCAC